TTTTTTTCATTCTATCTACGCTCCTAAAAGGCCTCTAAAATCTTTTGATATAACAACTGACTGCTTCTATTTATTCGAAAATAATAACCAAATTTATGCGAATTTGCTTGCTCTATTTTATCTACAATATGAGATTTATTTTTTTGCTATTTTATGATTATCATTAAAGTGTTTTTACCCTTCAATATTTTTCTAGACATGCCACTTCATATTCCATAAGAGCACATTTTGAACTGCTTCTAAATTACTTTAGATATTTATATCGTTTTTATTATTTTCGAATCATTCAATCTTTATTCAGCCTTGTAAGCGCAATACTCGTTCGTCTACTACTGCCGTTCTGCATACTCCTCCCAATGATGTATGTGCTGCTACCACACGAGAACGCTGTCGAACTGCATCGGGCGATTCAACCGTACTTACCAAAAAAACATCTCCTAGTGCCCTACGGGCAAATTCCTCCCTATCACAGGGTTCTAGAAAGGATGATTTATCAACACACCCTGATGTTCAAGGCTCTCTCAAAAGTCTTTCAGCAGCCAATGAGGAAGCAATCAAGCCTTGCAAATCAGGAAAAAGTGACGGGAATGATGACGACACCAAAGATGAGATCTTTTTTGCCCAGCAAGTTGTGCCGAACTCCTGTGCTACACATGCCCTTCTTAGTATCTTAATGAATAGGCCAGAGTTAGACCTAGGCCTGATGCTTACTGAATTCAGAAAAGCCACGAAGCGCCTTTCTCCAGAGACCAAAGGCCTCGCAATAGGAAGCATGCCTCCTTTGGCTCATGCGCATAATCGACACGCAACAGGTCGTCACCAGCCTGCTCTCTTGTCCCTTGTGGGCTCTTCTTCTTCTAGCCTGATTGCTCTACAATGTCCTTTAGATTTACCTACCTCATTACTTGAACCTAACGATCCCATGACAAATGTCTTAGAAGCTAGTCAGGCAGCTGCTACTGCTGTGTCTACTGCTCTAGCAGCAGCGGGTCGCTCAGGAAATGAACATTTTTCGGACACCAGTTCCACCCATTTTACGGACAACTTTTCTCCCGGTGATTTTGAGGGCCACACGCCTGTCGGGCGTTCTACTTTACATATATTATCATCTGGATCAACCGCAGGTATTGGTGCTTCGATTTCAGCCCCATCAACTAATCTTTCTCTCTCTGTATCACCATCCTTGGCTCTACCATTGGGCGGAAATGTAGAACCTCCTGACACCTTTCACTTTGTCTGTTTTCTGCCGATTCGAGGACGCCTTTATGAGTTAGATGGACTTAAATCTGCACCAATAGATCATGGTCCCCTCATATATGCTGAAGGATCATATTCGGAATCTGGATCCGAAGGAAATTGGACTGCGCAATGCGCAGAGTTGCTCAAACAGCGCATGATTGAGGCAAGTAACCTTTCACTATGCCAAAATTGAAGAATTCTCTCATCTTTTGAAGTTTATTCCATCTTAACTTTTCTTTTAAGGCAAGGTTGGCTTTATCTTTTGAAAATTGATAAAATGTCTCTGATTCATTAATTTGCTTATTCAATTTCAGTTATTTATCTACTTCACCAGTTCACTAAGTTTAGTCTTCATGGTTAGCTTTTTATGTGACCTTACAACTATCCATTATTTATTGCAATAATAACTATATTTTATCTTATTACATGTACAGGCGTTTAAGAGTTTATCAATTATATATTTTTTTTAACACATTTTATTGCTTGCAACAGGGCAAATTGACATTCTTTAGGTATTTACCACCACATTCACTCAAAAAATCATATATTGTTAT